TTAGAAGTTTTTTACAAATGAACTAATAACTTCAGCATCTTCTGACTGAAATTTTTAAACAAGCTTTATGACAAAACTAATGAATCCAGGACAAAAAAACTTCAGCTTATTTAGTGTTGAAGTTTTTACAAATGAACTAAATAACTTCAGCATCTTCTGCTGAAGTTTTTGAAAAAGCTTATCCAGGACAAAAAAACTTCAGCTTATTTAGTGTTGGAGTTTTTATAAATGAACTAAATAACTTCACCATCTTCTGCTGAAGTTTTTGAAAAAGCTTAATGATAAAACTAATGAATCCAGGAGAAAAAAACTTCAGCTTATTTAGTGCAATTACAAACAAAAACTTCAGCAAATAGAGAACAAAACTTCAGCTACTATGCTTAAGTTCAGCAATTACAAACAAAAACTGCATCACACTTGCTACTTCAGGCCCGTCTACTAGAATGCTGAAGTTTTGCGTGATTGCCTTTGCTACTTCAGCCCCCTATGCTGAAGTTACGCGAAAAAGTGGGTACGCTTGTAATTTTTTTTGCAAAGCGGGCATAAGTTAAAACATGACCCAAAAAGCGGGTATAGATGCAAATGCCCCAATTATTTTGGACAGCCGGGCCTAAAATGAAAAAAAAAAAAAAAAAAAGATAACCCAATTTAAGCTATATGCGCTAATAATGTAAAAAAGTTATAGCAAGATACGCATCATCTTGTTCAAGTTATCAATCTATATTTAATGAAGAGAACGACCAATTATTTCTACACTAATCATTTGTTCAATGGCCTATCAGGCGTACTAAAGCCATTTAAAAAAAAAAAACACGAGATTGGTAATTTGGTATTGAGAGGTACACCTTACCAACTTGAAAAACTTGAACCCATATATTCTGGTTCTCTTATAGTCATTTTAAAGTACTATTGGGTCTTCAATTCTATACTTTCCAATTAAAAAAAGCACATTCAAACAAACTCCTATGATTGAAGTAGTTGAGACTTGAGAGTAGTACTAAAAGAGCAATAAACTAGCAATCATTGATTTGATGCAGTAGTTGAGAATAGTAAAAGAGCAATATGGTTACTAGAGTCTTCCTTAGCATGTACTTACTACAAATAGAATTGGATATATATATACACCCTGTCTCATTTTATGTGACGGTATTTGACTGGGCATAAAGATTTAAGAAAGAAAAAATTTTGAAATTTGTGATCTAAAACAAGTTAGTATATACATTTGTGGGGTTATAAATCATCCCACTAAGCATAAATAAAAAATTTAAAGTTAAATTATTTATAACTATATAGATACATATAATTCTTCTTTTAACAAACTAAAAATAAAATTGTGTTACGTAAAATTGAACAAAAGGAGTAAAATACCTGATAACTTAATATACAATTGTAGACTTGATCAAAGTGACAGGAAAGCAAGAAGACAAAAATCTTGCTATCTGATAAGTTAATTAGTCTTACTTTATAGTTTATACCTATATTTTTTCTGAACTTTGATTTCTAAGGGGTCATTTGATTGGTAGAAGGTGTTACAAAAACAATACAATGTTTGGTTTAAGGGGTTATAAAAACAATATCCACATAACTAATTAATGCGGTGTTAGGTTAATCATGTAAGAAACAATAATTTTTGCAATTTGTGATGGCAATATTAAATAATTCTCATGCTTATGCGGGATAAAATATTAAATTAGAATACACATATATTAGCAATGTGAAGATGCATGGAAGTATTTAAAGACAAATATATAAGTAATTCCTACATAATATTTATTTTATTAGTATTATTTCATGCATATTCGACCTACATTATAGTTGTCCCATACCAAACGATCCCTTAGGGTATTGGTCCAGTCCCCTTTCTTTGTATTTTTTCAATTTCTTAATAAATTTCAAACTACGTACAGATACTGTATACAGAGGCGGACCTATATGTTATAGTGATGGTCACGGATCCCATAAGCTTCGGCCAAAATTTTGTATATGTACATGTATAAACCTTAAAAATAGTTAATTTAAAGCACTTGGCACCCTAAACCCTAAAAGCCTTTAGGGGGCACCGGTTAAGCAGAATATTGTGTCCCCGTCGTATAAAAATCCTGCTTTCGCCTCTGACTGTGTACCATAATTCAAGTCAAAGATGCAAAACACAAGCTAGCTAACCACTTTGAACAATATAACAAAATAATACTTTTCCAATATTACATAAACAAGTATCAATTACACCCACCAAGAAACAATAATCTCCAAGAGAGAGAAAATGTCATAGCATAAAGAGTAATAGCCAAGCAAAGATCAAACAATTCAACAAACCTTACAAATAAAACATGGATATCACATATGGAAACTTGAAGCTAGAGAGAAATTTGTCAACTAGAAAGCTAGGAAGATGCAGAAGCACACTATTAGTCTCAGAGTTAATTCCTTTGGGAATTGCTAGTAACACAGCTTATGAGAGACTTTCCCAGTCTATGAGACTTGTTGATGAAGAATATTCTAACCCTAGAAGCCATAATAAGAGGAGGAAGAACAAAGCATGGGCATTTCTCACGAGGGTATTTGCTTTGAAGAAAACTACAATTTGTGACAACGTGACATGTGAGGAAAGTGGTCGGAAGCTCGGGTCGGAGCCATATGAGGTGGAAGTCTCACGTACGTACGGTTCTCTGAGAAGGGAGCGATTACCTACTGGAGCGAGAGCCCAAACGGGTGATGCGAGAAGATCTTGATCGAAAGCTCCACTGTTCTGAATAGTGGTGCTGGGGAAAAGCCAATAGAAGTGGTGGATGAAGAAGAAGAATATGGTGATTCATCTTTCATTTCACTTCTTTTTTCTTTTAATAAATCCCACTATTCCAAAAAGAATGACAATATTTTGTTATTAGTTTGTTTAAATGAATGTTATCTTTCTAAATTCTAAAATAATTTGACTTGAATTGCTATTTTATTTTGATAACAAGCTTTTATAGTCGTATAATGTTATATTATATATATTAAAAGTTACGAGGTTCAAAAGTCTTAGTGCCATACAATATTATGGCATGTTTAAAACCAAAAATTTTAAAATATTTTTTTCTTTCTTAAAACTTCGTGTCCAGTCAAATAGGTTTGTGTAAATTGAAACGATGAAAGTATTTATTTTCATCGTTGTTTCTTTTCTCAACTATCCAGAACAAAAACAATACACATCAAATTAATCAAATCAAAACGAAGCTAAAAGACATTGCTCCGGTACTTTTTATTTTACATTTAATCTTGACACTCAAACTGAGAAAATTATTACTTTAACACATTGGCATATATAAATAAGGGCAAAATTTGAAAAAAAAAAATTAATTACTTCTTTATTATGTAAAAGGACACTTTTTGGACCAAAATAAAAAGGCTAAAAAGTCACTTATTATGGACCGCGGGGAGTAACATTAAACATTTGCGGCATTTGGCTACTAAATTGTCTTAGTCTCTCATTAAATGAAAAATTTATGATTATATGCTTTTTCCTAATAACGAGAAGTTGGAAAACACATAACGCCTTCTTAGTTTTTAAAATCATAAATATTTTTAAACAGATCTTTAATTAGTGTGATAGATAAAAGGAACGGGAGGGATAATATATATTTCAAGAATTTGAGGAGAGGAAGAGAAGTGGTTACAATTTTCTCAAGTAAAATATGCGTATATTAGGGGTAACCGAACATTAGGAATGGTAACCAAATATTAGGGGTGTGAATCTGACCATAATACCATGTAAAAAGGTAGAGATGGGAAAAAAATTGTAGGTAATTTAGTGTGTGTTTAAATAAGCAACACAACAAAATATTATATCTACAGTCGTAATCTAGTCAATATTAACTTATCCAACATGACTTAAATAGATTTTCCATTTGCACTTGAGAAGTTTGCTGATAGTAATAGGTCACAACCTTTCTGCCTTCTAAAGAAGACATTTCAAGAACCTAAAAATATTGTTGGTTTTCTGATAGTAATAGGTTATAATGGCTAATTTCCCTTTTTTAAAAACAATAATCAATATCGAGACATTACAAATAAAGATTCGAGTAAAATAAGATTCAATGTTTTCACCAAATAAAGGTTAATACGTGAATTCGGCTTTGCGTCAAAAACCTTCTGCGAGGGCAAAAACTCTGCCTGCCAAAGGCGGAGGTATTGCAGAAATAGCCTCCTGAATAACCTGATAAGGGAAGTACAGAAAACAAAAAAATGTTAGAATGATACATACACAAGAAATGAAACAAGTTAGTCCTAGAATTAGATCCTTTCTCTATTAGGGGAAGATCGATTAATCGATAAACCATAGGAACACGAAAGTAGGAAGCCACTCTTTCCAAACACACGCTTGGGTCGCTGTACGAACAGCACGAATGTTGTAAAAAGCAAATGATAAAAATACCAAGTGCTATAGTAATTGGTTTTTAAGAGAATGAAAAGACCAAAGGGTGTAAAATTGCAACCAGCATAGTAAAGACGGACATAAGAAATTAAACACAGTTGAAAAATCCATTTCTATCCTAGATACAAGCTTTTCCATAAGCAACAATAAAAGCAAAGAGAGTACAAATTCGAGAGTCTATCCTGCCAATGAACCAGGAAATATTGTTGGATTTCTTAGGAAAGCTCAAATAGACTATTTCCTAAAAGCTTTGCAATCTATGTCCATGATACTTGGTTTAGAAGTGGCGAGGGGCTATTGTGCATGTCATGTTTGTGTGTGTATGTGAGAGAGAGAGAGAGAGCGCTTACATCCAACTGATAGCGGGCGGAAAAGTGGATTAAAAGGATTGCTTTGTTCTGAAACCTGTCTGCGAAATTGATAATCTGGTAGGATGTCAACAAAGCATAAAGAATTACATCAGACTCCTAAATAATTCTACAACACATTCAGGATTTTATTTTTCAGTTCTTCTAGTAAAATCTTGAGGCCAATTAAAAGGGAATCTCAGGAAATGATGCAAAAAGAACCACCTCAGACAGATGAGTATGTCCATATTCTCTTGCATCATCAGCTGTTGTTTTGTCCTCCACATATGTACTCTGCAGAAGTATTGCAAAGACAAACTTGAGAGGAAAATGACTACAAGGAGTCAAAGAATTGAGCATCATGTTACAAACAAGATACATTATTTGACAAGTGTTACGAACAGGGACTTTACCTCCATTATGAGGATTTTTGCCCTCAAAACATCAACATTTTCGGAATCCTTAATGAAGTCTGACATTGTATCTCCAGTAAATGCAATTTCAGGTGCTGTTGTAGTGTATGTGATCTGTCAAAAATACAAAGTTAATACCTGTGTCTGAAAAGAATTGCTCAATGTAAAAGCAAACAAACTGTTTAAGCCATATAATAAAGGTATTAAATCCTCAAATTCGTCGAAAGCTTTTCTGAAAGAAACATGGTCATCCCAATGCATAGAGATTCTTATTCTTAGTTGGTACAAAAAGGAGAAAAAAGAAAGTAAGATGGAAAGAAAGAAAGTACGAAAATAAAATTTCCATTCGACTATGATATCATGACAGACCTCCACACCTGATAACTTTAACTTCTTAAGTTCATCTCCCGGAAGGCCCACATATTCTTGCTTAAGCTTCTGCCTCACTGAATATACTATATAACCCTGCACTATACCATAAATACAAGCTGATTAAAGAAGCGTGGGTAGGGGAAATGAGCATTCGAAGCTCGGAGCAGTAAGGAACGTACTCAACCTGGCTAGGAATGACATGGTAAGTCTTAAATGCTCTAACTTTAAGATCCTTTCTCAAGTAGAATTCTTCTCCTGCATATGTACAAAGATTTATTCACTTAAATTGTGAAATAAGAGCTAACTCCAACTTTATGAAAAGCCATATGATCAATAGAGGTAGATTTTTACCCACATCCAAACCAATCAAAGTATGGTTCAATTCAGAGTGATCCATAGCTCGGTGAGCTTCAAAAAGCTTCTCAACACTTCCTTTGATAACTTTTGGAACAATAATAGTAGGAGGTTTCATTCTGTAAAGGCCACGAGTCGAAACATACATAGGCAGTCCTCCAATGTGGTCCATGTGGCCATGAGAGATGAAAAGGAATTGCTGGGAGATGGCACGCTGAGGGCACTTTCCAATATCAAAGGCTAAGTTAAGCGTGGGAACTATTATGCATGTCTCATGACCTGCTATTGATATTCCTTCCAGTGAGTATCCTTCAATCTGCAAGCCCCTTTCTCTCTTGTGGCTAGTGTTACCCCTTGCATTTGAGTTGATCGATTCTGGATCTTTCTTTGTTTTACTCTCCATTTTGCAAACACTGATGGACTCAGCTCCAGAAGAAATTAGAAACAGAGGACTGGATAAGAAGCAAAGGAAAAACGAAGAGTTTAGAAGGACATAATATAATTTCTAACAATTAATATGCTCCATAGATGGAAAAAGATCACTTTTGCAGAATATGGGAGATATTAACTATCAAGTTGTCTAACACACTCATCTTAACTCAAAGGTAGATTAACTTGGATTTAAGAGGCACTTGAGATCGAATATTAAGAAGGCCAGAAATTAAACCCAGTGTTGTCAAAGGCGCGCTTAAAGCGCGCTTAAGCCCTGAAGCGAGGCTCAGAACATGTTGAGCGCTTCGCCTCGCTTTGTGGGCGCTTCAGTGTGGCATCAAGGCTCTAAGTCATACTTTCCCTTGCCAATGAGTGATCCTAAAAAGGGGACACTAAACAATTGATATTTCACTTTATCGTAATTTTTTTTCCAATTTTTTTGTCCATATATTTGTTATTCATGCTTATAATTATTGATCTTTGACTACATACATAATTTTACTTTTTCTCCAGTTGCGCCTTTTTTCATTAAAGCCCACGCTTTATTTGCGCTTTGCGCTTAAAGCCCCAACAGGCCTTAGAGCTTTTTTGCGCTTTTCGCCTTTGATAACACTGATTAAACCTGGCTTTTTGGATAATTAGAATTATTTGGTAAATGAAACACTTTCCTCCCCCCCGAACCCCCAAATGCAGAAATTTTTCAATATACAATGATAAATATTTCATCTTGTATGGCCTTGGTCACTTTAATTCTGTTTAAGGGAAATATCACACAAGATTTATATAAGAATGCAAAAAAACTGATAGAAATCATATAGAAGAACCAAAGACCTGTGTTGAGCTTTTAAAAGGCAGATCCATTATTTCAAAAAGGGGATTCAAAATTTGAAGAAGTAAACAGTGGATAATTATCGAGAAAGGGATTCAGCGGAAATTAAAGTAACAGTTTTTTTAGTAAGTTGATTATACATACATCAAAAAAAGACAAAATTACATAAAATTTATATGAACAAACTCACTTACAGCCAACTAAACTAATTATGAAGCACCAAGCATAAAGATCTTATCAACCACCAGCTATTTCACCACTTCTCCTTAACTTATGATCAAGCCTACTCTAGGGAGGGAAAAAGGGAACCTTCAAACACAAGAAAGTTCGAATCTTTCACAGCATAAAGTAGATTAAACGAAAAGAAAGCAGATTCCCTTTTTTGCTTATAAAATAAGAGAGAGAGGTAAAATTATCTTATCTTGCAAATATCAAAATACCAATTAGTTGACGGCGATAATGTTGCCGCAGCAGTGGTCAGCGGCAAAAGCGAAGAACCAGAGGCAGCTTGGCTTTTGTTTGTGAATTTCTCGTTAATTGCTTTGTCAGAAGCTTCTTTGGGATTAACCATCCAAATTTTCTCACATAACTGGAATGACACCACTTCATATGTAGTTATTGACTCCTTCAACCGCAAATTTCTTTTCATAGGTCCCTCTTAAGAATCTTATTATTTTTCCTTAATTAAATCAATATTATTCAAAGAACGGGATAGTGTATGATATAATTATGAAACGCAATCATATACTTTTTTACATCAAGTCATTGCACTTCCAGAAACTTAATAATACCTTAAGTATGAAAATTTCATCTTGGTCATTTCATACTTTTGAAAATGGTGAAAATTTAACACCCTTAAAATATTTACTTCTTTTAACCTATTTGGGCGAGGTTACACCCGTTCAATTAGGACTCTTCATCATGGGATGGTGTTTGGCAGTAAAGCAGTCTTGTAACCTTTTCTTCTCATGTAAAACTTCATCTTCCCCTTTCTCGGTACTGGATGATGTTTCACTTTTTTCTATTTTTGACCTTTTCTCGTTGGATGTTTTTCGCTTTTATCAGTTTTAAAAAACTTCACAAAAGCAACAAACAACAAAAAGGACAAGTCTAACAAACAAATGAAAATTTTAAGGGTGCTAAATTTTCACCTCTTTCAAAAGTATGGAACGAAAAGTTCCATACTTTCAGGTATTATCAAGTTTCAGGAAGAAAAAAGACTTGATGCAAAAGGTGCCTTTCATTCTTATATTATAGACTCTCTTCTTCTTCGAGCAATATTGACTCAGTTAAGGAAAAAAGTAAGATGTTTGAGAGAGATCTATGAAAAGAATATTTGCGGAGGAGTCCAATAACTCCACATGAAGTAGTGTTATTCTAGCTTTTTTGAGACAAATCTGAAAGGTTATTAACATGCTTCTAAACAATGCAATTTACAAAAAATCACACAACTAAGTATCTGAGTTGAGGCTTTTCTGGGGAGAATCCAGGATTTTCACAAAGGAATTCAATATCTGAAGAAGCAGAGAAATTTTTCGGCATAAGTGAATCTGCGACAAATTCTAAATCAAGTTAACAATTATTCTATATACATACATCAAACAAAGACAAAGTTACGTAACACGGACTTTTAGATGATCAAACAAACATATTTTTAGTCAATTAAACTAATTCTCTAACATTTAAGCACATTTAATGTGATTAAAGTAACAATCTAATATCAAAGTATCAAACTAAAGACATAGATAGTTGAATATATGGCCCTCAAAAGCTAGGAACTTCACCTATCGATTTGTTTTTCGTTTTTCTCCAAGGTAAACTACCACTACCAGATAACCAAAGCACACATTAAAAAATCAACACATAATTATTACAAAGGTGCTCGAAGATGTGAACCTTATGGGTTCGAAACCGAAACAACCTCAAGTTAATACACAATAATAATAGAACTACGAAACGAATACCAATATTTAAGATATATTTAAAAGAAAGGAACCACTTAAACACATCATATGAATATAAACATTACCATTACAATTATACTCGACGACTTGTGATGTTTTAAGAACGATCTATGATTGCATCAATAGGTATACTCAAAGTTACTCGAACCCGGGTGCAGGTGTCTGATACAGATACGAATATAAAGATCCGTCATTATCTAAACTTTAAGATAGATTCGGTGGATTTCCTCCTCCTCCTCCTCCTCCTCGAGGAGGAGAATCCGAGAAGGAGATAAAGGGAAAAGGACTGACAAAAGAATTTCTATATATAAGGTATTCTATTTTCTTCAATTTCACCTTAGTTTTTGTTTTGATTTCAAAAAAGTTATTGTATTTGTCGCAAATTTCTCTGTAGATTTTGGTCGATGTACTCTAAATTGATTGACCATATCCGGTACGAATTCCACACCCAGATCATGTCGAAAAGGGCGCGACATCAAAAGTAAAGCGTCCGAGCAACTTAGGGTTTACTTTCAAATATTTCATCCTCTATATAACAACCTAAACAGTCATTCAAAAATCTATCGCCAATTTTGCTTCACAAGTCATTTTTAACATGTTCATTGACAAAAAGCTTTTTCCACCATCGCAATAGCGACATGTGATATGAAACTCAACTTCACATACTAATAAACAAGTCCCCAAGTCTTATAAAGATTCGTTTCAAGCTTCAAGCACTGTCTTAGAAAGATTTCCATGTCATATCAACTTAAAGAAACCCTTATCAACCTCTCACTTTGTCTTGAATCAATTACAAATCAAAGTCATTAGCACTTTCTACTTTATCTTGAATCAATTTTTAAAAAAATCACTTAATAGAAGGAGGCATCAAATATGATATCTATATATACTATAGTTTTTCCTAATATTGTTTTCCATGTCGCCAGCAAGAGGGAAAAATAAGATTGAATATGTAGATAAGCCACGAAAAAGAAAAATGATAAAGATTCGATTGGTAGCTTCTAATATTTCATGTACATATAATAATTGACTATGGTTTTTCTATGAAAATAATACCCAGAGAATTTAGTTTTTAAGGGAAGGAAATGCAGACAAAATGAAGTTTGGAAGAATATATGCAAGCTTAGGTTTGAATTCCAGCAATATATCAAACTAAATGCTAGCAATGGCTGCAGGATTCTGGACAGATTTTTTCTTGGGAGACGGAAAACTAAAGGACAAATTTCATGTCTTTGAATAGCTTAGTTGTAAACAAAATATCGTACAAATGCTGATTGTTATACTGTCTCAAGGTGGCATTAAAATTTCAGAAGAAACTTTAAAGACTGGAACATGGAGGAGGTTAGCTAATTGTTATACATCTTGGAATCTATAACCCTCCATGTTAACAGGTTGGATTCCCACATCTTGACCTTGGAAAATGTTGTGGCGAACAAAAGCATCTTCCAAGTTTGCTTGTTTTGGTTGGATTGTAGCAAGGAATGAATGTTTAACTCACAATATTTTACAGAAAAAGGCTTCTCCCTTGCAATTGGTGTTGGTTTCGTGAAGAAGCTCAGGAAACTATTGTTTGGGATCTTTTTCTCAACATCTGCAATGTGCAGCGGGTGATGCCTCGCAGTGTGAGAAATTTACTGGAGATTTGGCAGAGACAAGAGAGTTGACAAAAGACGGTAACAGATCCGGAAAACAATTCCTTGTGCATCATGTGTAGGGCTGGGCATATATCGGGTAAAACCGATAACCCGAACCGGTAATTGTTTATTGGGTTATCGGTATGGGGTTATTGGGTTAACGGTTCGATAACGGTTTAGAATTTTTTTACTATTGGGTTATCGGTTCAGGCCTCGGTTTGCCAATTTTGTTAATGGGTTAACCGATAACCCAATAAGAACTAATAAAATTACGACTTTACCCTTAAGTATGTACAAATGCTAGGGCTTCAATTCATTCTCTCCTATTCTTTCTCAACCGCACTCTTCAGTTGCTTCATCTTCATTCTTCATAGACCTTACTAGTTACTCCTAGCGTAAGTCTTTAGTATACTATAAGTGAACTCTTCTCTTTTTTACTTAACTCAAGTGAATTGTCTTCTCTTTTTTGCTTAACTCTAGATTGAGTTATCTTATCGGGTAAACCGATAACCGAATCGATAATGATCGATAACCGATTAACCGATACCCAATAATCGATATCTTATCGGTTCGATTATCGGTTTATCAAATTTGTAAACCGATAACCGATATGCTAAACCGATAATATTCATAACCGAACCGAACCGACCGATGCCCACCCCTAATCATGTGGACAATTTAAATAAAGAGGAAAAAGAGATGCTTTATAGGACAGAAACAACATATATCTTTTGTTAAAAATAGATGTCTTCTCAAAGTCTATATTTCTGGTGTAGGACAACAGGATAGAAAATTTGTCTCAGTATGTTGATCTTTTTGGAGTTTCTGGGAATGAATTGGTGATAGTAATATTGTAACTCTTTCTCTTTGTATTTTGCAGTACCTTCTCGGTACTTCATTAATGAAAATTTCTTATCTTATGAAAATGATTGACTCTGGTTTTTCTATTCAGAATGGGTCAACATTGGAAGACCTGGATGTGGATTCTGAATCAGCTCTACCCATCCCTAAAGAAAGGCAATTCAAAGCTTCACTAACCTTGTATTGCAGTTTTATATCACCATCATCCCAATGTCCATTTGCAAGAAAGCCAGGCCAAGCATACCCAAAACTTATGGAAACTAGGCAATACCTAATCCCACTATGTTCCCAACCCAAACAAGAATTGATGATTATTTGACATAAAAGTACAATTTATGACAAGAAGTTAATTAAGTTCCCTTTGACCAAGAACAGCGCTGGTAAATAATTTGTTGCAAAACTTTTTTGCAGGATTCAACAAGGAACAAAATAACCTGGCAGTTTTATCTAACAGACAGTTAGGATTATATTGAGGGTAATGAAGAAATCTCCCAGAGCAACATACTACATACACAAAAGGAAAAAGGACAAAATCCAAAGTATCAAGCATAAAATCTTTTATTAATGATAATAGTGTGGTGCACACCTGGAATATCCTACTGGGTACCTACTACCTCTCACCAATCACCATGTACTGAGTTTCTAAGCCCGTTAAGGTTTAGGCAGATGGAAGGAAATTGTCTAATGTTTTTTTTTTTTGCTTCAATTGTCTCGTAGTTCTCCTCCCACTTCATTAATGGTTAGGTCACACCCTCTGGTGCTGGATAAAGATATTCAAACCCCTTCTCATTAACTTATGATCAAGCATACTCTAGTGAGGGAAAAAGGAACAACTAGGAGACAAGAGAGTTTGAATGTTTCAAAGCATAAAAGTAGACTAAAGAAAATAAAGCACATTCCTTTTGTTTTTCCATAAAAATAAGAGAGAAAGTAAATAATTATCTCATCTTGCAAATACAGTACCAATGAGTTGCGGCAGCGGCGATCAGCGGCAAGATGCGAAGACCAGTGGCAGCAATCGGTTGTTTGGAAATTTATTTTGGGCGGAAATAGAAGAACTGAGGCTTAAAACCCTAAAAAAAGAAAAATGAATCGACTGCCGTACTGGGTTTAGTGTAGAACAACAGAACTAGAAAAGAATGGTAGCACCAATTTATACGACTGAACCTTTAAATTCTTCGAGGAAAAAACTCTTTGAATTCCACATTTAAATAAATAAAGATCCTTTCATTAGCCCCAAAAAAATACGTATATGGTAAAGGTCCAAAGTTACCCCTCTGGTCGATCAAATTTTGAACGGAAAAGGCCAAAAATGTCCCTCTACTATCTAAATTAAGTCATATCTGGCCCCCGTTATACTATTTAATTAAAAAAGTCCTTACCGTTTGTGCCCAGAAATTAAAATGTCCCTCCACCGTTTACTCCGCCATTCAAAATTAAAATATCCACTTGGCAATCTTTTATTGGACGATTTAAACCCACCCCCTATTTTTTAATTAACCCACGACCCGGTTCATTTTATCCGACCCACCCGTATATCACTTAAAGAACACCCCAAAACAGATCGGTCCTCATTCCCTCCTTCAACCACGAGACCAAAAGTTAGGGTTCTTCAAGAAAGCCTTCTCTTAGTCGATGCTGCCAATTCAAGAATCAATTTTCTGTAAAGGTATGTTTAATCCGCGTAATATTACTTGTTTATCTCCCCTCTATTTGTATTTGTCTTAGTATATTATTAGGGTTTTATGCTCAAATCGTTTTGGGACTTTAATATGTTTTGTTTTCTTATGCCTTAGTTTAAGATGTTATTTTCTGACCTTTTTGTCTTATTTTCTTGTGTGGAATGTCTTTGCATGTGTTTTGTTTTAGTCTTTTCTGAATTTTGTAAGCATTAAAGTTGGTGAGATATGATAATGTGGGGTTTCATTTGTTCCTTTTTAGTCATTTTCTTGTCTGGCATATGTCTGTGCTGGTGTGTTGAATGTTGTTCCCTCACAATTGAAATCTGTGAATATTTTAGTACTAATGGGCCTTTACTACTTGAATTATTTGTTGTCCCCTAGTTGTTATATGTTATTTGTGTTCCCCTAAATCCATAGATGATTTATAATTCTGTTTTGTTTAATTGCTTAGTTATTGTTCTTTATTAGTATTGTTTATGTTATTTAAATTTTTGTTGTTTGTCCCCGTATTCTTTATTAGTATTTTTTTTAATTTCTTAGGTATTTTTTATTGTTACCTTTACAGAATAGCAAGGATGCCATTGGTGGACCTAATCTTGCATTATAGTGGGGACTGGATCACAAGCCCACATGTCTTGTATTCAAAGAAGTTGTCCCATATCAAGAGAGGTTATGATTCTGAACTTCTATCGTACAAATATCTAGTGGACTTATACATTAATGAGTTAGGAAATGTAGGTGTTCAACAACTAATTGTGAATGGTCCATCTGGCAATTATTATGAGATTGAGGATGATGATGGTATAAGACATATGTTGTGTCTAATCTCTGATGAATTCAAGACTCTTCATTTCTATACTGTAGATGAGTGTGAGCAATCTATTAGTGTGACTAACATAGTCCGTCATTCTGAGTCTTATACTGTATTAAATGAAGTTTGTACTGATTGTAGTGATGTTGAAAGTGAATCTGATTCTAATTCTGGAGAGGTAGAGTATGATAGTGATGAATTACAAACATTTGCTAATCAAAAGAAAAGAGAGATTATGCCAAGTTTGAATAATTATAAGAAACTGTATAAGGGTATAAGCTTCAAGGATATACCTAAAGCAAGAAAATATCTTAACTTCTATGCCTTAGCAAACAAAAAGGAACTAAAGTTGTTGAAAAGTTCTCCAAAAAGGCTAAGATATGGATGTGTATTTGACTGCCCCTTTATTGTTCATATTACTCCAGATGGGGACCTTCCTGGGGTTAGGGTAAAGACCTTAAAAGCAAAACATACCTGTGATGAAGCATATGAGAATTCTAGGTTTGCTTATTATACAATAGCAAATTACTTCAAGAAGAAGGTGCAAGATAACCCAAAGTTTAAGATAAAAGAGATGAGAGTAGAACTGAAAAACACATTCAATGTTAATGTTAGTTATGGAAAGTGCAAGAGGGCTAAGAGGCTGATTTTAGAGAAACTGGATGGTAGCTTCACAGATGATTACAATAAACTTGAGGCATATGCCAATGAGCTTAGAATAAGTAATCCGGGCAGTGATATAGTCATTAATTTGTCAAAGGATGCCCTTGAACAAGGTAAAAGAAAATTCTTGAGAATGTATACTTGCTTCCAAGCATTGAAGATGGGTTTTAGAGAAGGGCTGAGACCATTTATTGGCTTAGATGGTACTTTTTTAAAGGAAAAGCAAAAGGTCAGCTACTACTTGTTGTAGTTCTAGATGCCAATAATCAGGCTTATCCAGTAGCATGGGCAGATGTTGATAAAGAAACCAAAAAGACTTGGACCTGGTTCATGGAATTGCTTCAAAGGTCATTGGATCTCAAAGATGGTGAGGGAATTACCTTTATGTCATGCAGAAGGTATGAATTCTATCCAGATATCTTTAATTCTTTCATTTCAATTTGTTGTTAATTACCCTCAGTATTGCATGTTTACTAATATTCACTTTCATTTTGTAGGGATTAATTGAGGCAGTCCAGAATGTTCTACCTGATTCACACCATAGATTTTGTGTGAAGCACATAGAGGCAAACTGGTGCAAGAGATGGAGGACAGATGAGTTCAAGAAGTTGCTATGGTGGAGTGTCTGGAGCTCTTATGAGGAAGATTTCAAGGACCAGTTGAAGAGTATTGGGGAACTGGGTAAGGAAGCTGTTGAATCACTATTAAAATATCCTCCACATGCTTGGTGTAGAGCCTATTTTGATACTGTGTGCAAGAACCAAAAAGATGAGAATAACTTCACTGAATCAGTGAATGCATGGCTGGTTGAAGCAAGGCAAAAGCCAATCATTAAAATGCTTGAGGAGATAAGGATAAAGTTGATGAACCAGTTGAGGGAAAGGGAGGAAGCTGTGAGGTCATAGGAAAATGATTTCAGTCCACATAGTTTGAAGCTTTACAATGAATACTTCAAGATAGCTAACACTTCTTGCTATGTGGATAGTAATGGTGACAATGGCTATGAAGTCAGGGAAGGGACAGATAAGGACATTGTAAACATGGTTTTGAAAAAATGCACATGTAGGGGATAGGATCTTACTGGAATCCCATGCCCACGTGCAATTAAATCCCTGCAATTAAAAAGGTTGGAGCTTATGAATGAAATCAATTGGTGGTACAGCAAAGAAGCATATCTGCTTACCTACAAGTACAAGTTGCAGCCAGTTAGGGGTGAAAAATTCTGGAAGGTAGATCCATCACAAGCAATGGAACCACCTGAGTTAGTCAAGATGGCTGGGAGGCCTAAAATCAAGAGAACAAGACAAAAAGATGAGGCAATCAAAAGGCAAGGTGAATGGGCAGCTTCAAGAAAAGGGAGAGTAATGACTTGCACCAACTGTGGAGAGCCAAATCATAATGCAAGGGGTTGTGAGAAGGTAACACCTCTCACCATATCTAACTTATTTTACTTGTTAACAATACTAACATTTACTTTATCTAACTGTTTTTATTTGTTAACAATAGCCACCTATGGCAAAAAGGGCAAGGCAAAATGCTAGACATCTAGTTGATGAAGATGAAAGTGTGGGGCAACAATCAGAAGAAGAGATACACCTAACAGCACCCCAATCTAGTCAAGCAAGTCAGTCGAGTGTTCAAGGCTCAAATTTTGTGTTCATGCCTACACCATCAGTGCACAGTCAATCAAACAGTCCATTCCCTGAGTGTGAGCAACCTGAACTTGATCCAGATGTAGTTACAAGGCCAACAACTGTGTCGGAATCTAAAACAAGACTTCTGCAAAGGCAAAAACCACCTCAAACTTCAAGTGTAAGGGTAATTTCATTCACTGGTGATACAAATGGTGTTAGTCTCCCATCATCACTTCCTTTCAAACCACCAGGCCTCAAATGGAAAGGAAAAAGTGTTGTAACTGGAAGTCAGCTGGAGATGCAAAGCACAAAGAAAGTGGATAAGCTGAAGCCAAGAAGGGGAAACAACTGAAGTCTATTGTAATAGAACTAAATAGGTTGCTTTTTGTGTAGTTTGTTGGGTTGTAATTAGTGCCATGTGACAGTACATTTCCTATTTTGTGTAGTCTGTTAAGACTTCTTGCTGAATGTTGGGTTTGGATGTCATATTATCACTATGTTTGTGACAGTATTGTATTGGAAAAAATTATATTTATATGTAAAGGTGACGTGTCAAGACACGTGGATTGGTCAAATGGTCAAAGAATTGCAATTAGCTAAGAGTGATGAGTTACAACAGATACGAGCAAGGAAAGAGGAAGAGGCACGGGACATCAGACAAGTAACACGGCGCCCGTACCTATTTGAGTCATTTATATCCGAGAATCAGAAGGAATGAATCTGACAGCATACGAGGGTCCAAATATAATATTTGATAAGCATTAAATGCTGAAAACGTTAGAGAATCTGTCTTAAATGTAATGATTATGTAACGTAGCATTCAATGTCATTTATTGCCCATAATAACCTTATTATGACCAAAGCAAGACACTTACATCTAAGATAGCTATAAAAGGAGAAGACTGAACAATTGTAGGGACACGAAAAATCATCTGAATATACTTTGGTTTACTTGCTTTATTCAATTATATTCTGGCTATTCAAATATTCTCTTTTATATATTCTTGCGATTATCAGTAACCCGTGTTATTCTAAAATATAGCTTTAGTCAAAATTCCATTTTTTGGTTAAACAAATTGGTTCCGTTACCGGGAATCTGATAATCCATTTTATTTTGGCCTAACTTCCCTTGTTGCGTCAACCATGTCGAACAACAATGACAACATTCAGGGAAACCAAGAAAATCAAACAACCCAGCAACTTCAGGGAGATCCACAGAACAATAACGTACTGATTACTTCTCCACAAGGCTCTCCACGGCGGTCTCGTGAAGGCACTCCTGATGGGTCTCATACAGATGGACAAGCTCAATTCGAGAATGTTGAAACTATGGATGAGGCTTTACAAAAACTTATTGCCTCTCAAGTCAATAAAGCTCTTCAGGCTTTTGTTAGCCAATTACCTGCTGCACCACCTACACCCACACCAAATAACAA